TCCCCTTCTCCCTCCCTTTCTCTATTGACTCTGTGGATAATCTTGACTCCCCAGAAAAATCCTTAAGCAGCTGGCCACAAACCTTGTGCTTGAGTGCACATGCATACAATATCTTCCTCAGCCTTGGGGCTGTTTTCCCCCCTCTCTTCTTTTTCCCTCTTCTTCTTCCCCAGTTCTCCAGTGAGATCCTGAGCCAACATGTCTGGAAAAAAAAGCAGGACTTGTTGGTAGGGACTGGAAGTGACTGCCAAAATCAACACAGCTCTTCTCCTTGGGGAGACCTGCAGCAAATTGGACGCGAGCTGGGTTTCTGTCTCTCGGACCTGAGTGAGGCTGCCAGCTTCCACTGCTGGGCCGCGCGGTGAAACCAGAGATGCTTGTGTCCATTTTTGTTTAAAAAAATAACAGCAAGCCACAAGTAAAGTGGTGTAGCAAATTGTACATAGTTCAAATGGATTGATTTCCTGTGTAAACAGGTAGACCATTAGAGAGTTGGTTTTGATTTGTGACCATGCTAGAGCTTTATTAGGGGTTTCCTTCGCTCTGGCCCAAAGGTATGGCAGCCAAATAGCAAGTGTGTCTACATCTGTGAATGCTAAAATAAAAAGTATTGATTCCTAACTATAGCACTGGCAGGCCAAGAATTTCAGCTTTGGGTTGGAGTAGACATACAAATTAGTCATGAATGAAAACACAGAACAGGGCAGTGTACACTGTCAGTTTTCATTTGGTTTTCTACTAGATATTGTATTCAGATAGCAGAGAAGGTGGCAGGCAAGCGGGTTCAATCTTGTATAGCTTCAGCACATCCTTTGTATCATTACACCTCCTCACATCAAACCCAACTGGACAGCTGCAGATGACACCTTGTTTGAAGAGTTTGACGTTTGATCGAGGATGTGTTTGATGCAAGAGGAATAAAGAGTAACACCTTAGCTTTTCAAACTGGGGTGCTGCTGTTTGAAGTATCAGGGCAGCACAGGGAAGCCAGGTATGTTCTGATCAATTTCTATTGACTTTTCAGGGTATAAAAATGTGTGATTCAAGAGCATGGTGATGCCAAAATGGAATTTAAAACTTTGCCTTGAAATGAAAACTATAGGTGTAATGCTGCCAGAGTGCACCTGAACGACGCTCTACTTGGGCGAGGACATAGTGAAAAAGAGGAAACAGAATATTCACAGTTTGCATAATCCGGTTGAAATTAATATGCATTTTTTAAGTGCTTGGAGATTCAATCATCACTAAAGCATATGTCATGCATGAGAGCCAATAAAAACAAATGGAAGGGTCAAAGCTGATTCACAACATCAACTCACACATAAAGTAACATACGAGAAAACATTGGACCAGTAGCTGTCTTTGAGGGCAAAGTGAATTAAATGTTGCTGTTGAGCACCGACGGCCCCAGTACATTTATCTGACGCTTTTATCCAAAGCGACTTACAATTGCTACACATGTGAGAGGTTGTACGCCTCTGGAGGAACTAGGGGTTAAGTGTCTTGCTCAGGGACACATTAGTAGATGGGTCACAGTGGGTAATTGAACCCAATTGTCTTATCCGTTGCGCCTCACCACCCAGGTACCGGAAGCAGCACGTGATTTTCGCACAAAATGCTAATATGAAATCCATGGACTATTTTGTCACCCTATCCATGCTTCACACCTCTGTGAAGCTAGGAGGCTCAGCTAGAAGCTCAAACCAACCATTTTTATCCACACCAAACACACATCAAACACCAAGGATCTAAATAAGCTTATCTCACAACATAAAACGCTCTGTAATCACTGTACATGGCTGCAGTTATTGCCATCCAGATATCTCCATCTCATCCTACACTGCAGTCCGACCACTCTAAAGAAAGCTCAGCTCCAGTTCTGATCAGCTGTTTAACTCATATCAGAATCAGAATCCGCTTTATTGCCAGTGATGTGTATAAATACGAGGAATTTGACTCAGGATTGTACATTGCTCACGATGAGCTTACGTGTACAATAATACAGTAAGACAATAATAAAATAAATCAGACACAGGGTGCAGTGTAGACAACACAAATATACACACTGTGAACAAAAAACAATATAGACGTATTGACAAATAGTGCAGTGAGCAGAGTGCAAAGAATGCAGGAGTAAGATATTATTATCATTATTATGTACATGTCGGAGATGGATGTGATTTACAGGTACACATACACATACGTGCATACATGTACACAGTGCGATGGAGCATAGTGCAAAGGAAGTATATGCAATATGACAATATAACAGAATGAACAGCACTGAAATAGAGAATGTTGAATAAATAATAAGTGGTAACCAGTAAACGGGTGGCTGATTAGAGAGTTCCACTATGAGGGACTATGGGAACGCCTCTGGGCGTGGCAGGGCTGAAATCATGAATGAAACTACTCCAATCCTATTGGCGTTGCTAGAACGGTAGTGTGTGACGGTGTAACTGGAGGCGTATATAAGCACGCCGGCACACCGGACACATTAGCTTTTTTCTATTCAGCAGGCACTCTGGCATGTTTGAGACTATGCAGAAGAAAGCTACCACAAGACGTTACCTGGAAGGAGAAGTAGAGGAGATAGCTATTCTCCGGAGATGGCTGGATGTGTTCTGTGTGTCTGGCACGGCCTGCCGCCTCCGCGCCGGCAAGCCCTTCTCAGCACGTCTGACTACTCCCCCGCTCCGGGTTTACAGCTACGTTGCGGGGGTTAAGGGTTCTGGTTATGGGACGATGCCCCAGGTTGAGGATGCTTTGGCCAGCTATCTCTCACCCGGTCTTGCGTCGTCCCTTAAAGAGCCGGCGCTGCCTACCAAGCCATGTCGTGTGACATCTGCTCTGGTGGGCAAGGCGTACATGGCAGCGGGCCGGGCCGGTGCGAGCCTGCACACGATGGCGGTTTTGCAGGTATACCAGGCCGACCTGCTGAAAGACATGGATTCGGGAGGAGGCCCCTCTGAGGAGGACGTCGCTGAGCTCCGCAGAGCCACAGACTTGTCTCTCCGAGTCACGAAAGAGACGGCCCGCGCCATTGGCCGCTCCATGTCGGCCGCTCTGGTGCACACAGCGCGGGTTATCGGCAGGTTTTCCCTGGCGGACCTCCGCTTCAGGGCGCCGCCGGAGACCTACGCATAACACCGGCCACCAGCCCCGAGGGAGTTCGCAGGAGCTTGGCAGAGCCTTGCCAACATTTCCCCGTGGGTCCTGCGCACCGTCATGGAGGGCTACAGGCTGCAGTTCCGGGTCCGCCCCCCCAGACGGGGTGGTCTGGACTGCGGTGCACTCAGAGCAGAGCCAGGTGTTGGGACAAGAAGTTCACTCTCTGCTGGAGAAAGGGGCCAGGAGTCCGGGTTCTACAGCCGGTGCTTCATAGTTCCCAAGAAGGACGGAGGACTGCGTCCGATTTTAGATCTGCGGTCCCTGAACCAGTCTCTGAGGAGATGCAGGTTCAGGATGCTCACCATCCCCGCCATCATCAGTCACATCCAAACCGAGGATTGGTTTGTCACGATAGATCTACGAGACGCATATTTCCACATCTCCATCCGTCCCTCTCACAGGATGGATTCGGGAGGAGGCCCCTCTGAGGAGGACGTCGCTGAGCTCCGCAGAGCCACGGACTTGTCTCTCCGAGTCACGAAAGAGACGGCCCGCGCCATTGGCCGCTCCATGTCGGCCGCTCTGGTGCACACAGCGCGGGTTATCGGCAGGTTTTCCCTGCACTGTAAACCCCAATAAGTTCATAGTACTCAAAACTTTTGTAGAAACTGATTACATAATAACTTTTGAGGTAAGTAACTTAATATTTTTAAGTTAGATTTTTTTAAAAGTTACAATCTAATCTAACTGAAAAATATTAAGTTACTTACCTTTAAATGTTTGAGTAAGATTTTTTTAAAAGTTACAATCTAATCAAACTTAAACATTTAAAGGTAAGTAACTTAATTTTTTTAAGTGCACTATGCTTAAAAATATTGTTTAACACTCGCACATTTTTTGTTTCTCCATACTTCATTATTTTGATCCAATGGTACTAAAAAAATATGCTTGTGTATAACCCACAAGCTAATGAAATTTACAAGTTAAAACTACAAAAAAAAAATTACTTCAGCTGTACATTTTCTTTTTTCTTTTATTCAGTCTTAATTTTTATACAAACATGTCAGAACATCAACAGCAGTCAACAGTTAAAACTCTGTTCTAGCTCAGGTGTCTAACCATGTGACTCAAGTCACAGTTTCACCACCTACCCAAAAGCTGTAAGCCTGTTAAGCAGTGAAATTTCTTAAAATATTTAGTTACAAACCTACATGGACACAGCAAATATGTATGTTTTAGTGTATGGTTGTGCATTTGTCTCTGTGTGTGTGTCTCTGTGTGTGTGTGTGTGTGTGTGTGTGTGTGTCTCTGTGTGTGTGTGTCTCTGTGTGTGTGTGTGTGTGTGTGTGTGTGTGTGTGTGTGTGTTGTGTACATATGTATCTCTACATATTAAACAGGAACAAGATCATCAGGAACTAAGCAAAGTGCTTAATATAAAAAGTATGAAAATAAATGCTTATTAAAACAGCATTAGTAACAGCAATCAAAGTGAAAATGGAATAAAAAAATATACAAAAAAAAGTAAATTAAAAGATTTGGTGGGCAAGATATAATCTGCCATATGTAAACAGTTTCAAATGCTTTGAGTAACATTGTGTTCAACAACATACTATAAAGTTACCATACTGGGAACCCCCAAAACACATCAACATGCAGACAAGAAAATACATGTGTAAACACTACTCTTAAGTTAGCCTACTCTTTCATTAACAGGTCATTTTTGAGACTCAGTAGGCAGGGTTTAAGTGGTTTACCATCATCAAGACCCATTAGGATTTTCTGGATGAATGTGAAAGTGTGAATGAGTTTCTTGGGATAGTTCAAATGCAATGCATACATTAACCCAAACAACAATGCAAATGCATCAGCCAAGTTAGGGATATCACTAATCACAACATCGTCTTCCACAACAATAGAAATACTTGCAGGACTGAAATGAACTGGATCTGCAGTGTCCTCTGTGACTGTGACAAGAGCAACAGGAGTGTCGATGCATGGCTCATCTGACTCCTCCACCTGAAAGACACAGAGGATACAACTGTTAGGTTAACTTGAAGAAACACAACAACTGCATGTACACTCACTGGCCACTTCATCAGGTGCATGTGTGTAACCCAATGCAGTCCAATACAACAGCTCTCCTTTAAATTCTACGTTTATGAATTTTATACATTTTCAGTTTTTGTTGACATTGTCAGAAAGGTGATAATTCTACTTCATATTTATTACTGAGGTTGTAATACATGGTGGTGGCATAGTGGGGTGAATTATATCGAATGGTGTTCCTAATATTTTGCCCCTTTCTTGTATGTTAAAGCAGTGGACAAAATATTAGGAAACCCATTCAATATAATGCCTTATATAAATAATTATATAACACCCTAATACATAATTTTCACCCACTGTCTATTCTACAGCCCATCATAAAAGTGGTAAGTGTAGCAGCAGGTATTTTACATTTTAATATCATACAGGTTGTTATTTAATATGTAAGTGTACCCAGGTAGGTATTTTGCAGCTGAGCATTAAACAGGCTATTAATATGGAATTAGGTATTACATAGTAGCGGGTGCTGTATTGTGATATGTAATGTACAGCATCTCATAAAAGGTATTTTTAAGTAATTTTTACAGAGAGTGAGGGGGTGTGTTATTTCATGAGGTTAAGCCAAAAGGTCAATCAAATGATCAAATGATCTTCTCCAGGTCTGGGTAAAGTTAGGCCAGGGCTTTGTGAGAGATTAAGGTTTGGGATTACCTGAGGTTAGATCTTTTACATTTATTTGTATGCTTATATGCACATACTGTATATCCATGTACACACTAAGTACAGTCCATTTACCATTACAATGACACCTACACACAAGGTTTACTAAGGGGTAACAAGATATAGTTAAGTGGCTGCTAGAGATACTAATAGTTCTCTGAATAGAATACTTACATTACAAGTCTTGAAGAACTGTGGGTCCTCCTCACGCATGTATACCGGGAGGGCACGAAGGGCTACAGTACGCTTCATATTGACATCCTGCACTTCCTGGAAGAACAAGCAAAAATGAAAAGTACAGATTTCATTCTTCTTTCAGTGTGGATGTTCTGACCAAATTTCATGGCATTTGGCAAAGTGTTGGACAGACAATGACACCCTGAGGCCCTGCTGTCCAGTGGGACCTGAAGCTCAAAGTTCATTAACTCACCTGGAGATCATAAATCTTAAAGATGTCACGCAGCGCCTCTGATATCTTTCCGGTTCGTGCCGTGTAGGTTAGCTAGAAATAACATCACATTCAACTTACCAAAGCAGGGCGCTTAACACAAACAGTAGCAACACACTCAAAAACGGAAGGACTATCGCTTGCTGAAAAGAGTTATTGACTAACATTAACATAATTGTCTAGCCGCGACATTAACAGTACACATGATATTAACACTCACTAGCAGGCGGACTGACGGTAACGTAATGGCGCTGGCGCTTTCGGCGCATAAAAAACGTGCGCGGCACCGTGAGGCTGCGCGCTAGCAACTTATAGGCTATATTAAAAATAGCATCGTCTAACAGTCAAATATCACGTGAAATATGATATTCCCAATGTTACAACAAGCAAAGTAGTTTCGAAGTGTTTTGGCTTACCTTAAAGTTTAATGCTTGATACCACGCATAGACACCACATTGCTCGAGAGGGTAGCCATCTTGGATAGATTTTTCAGGTAACGTCAGTTAGGATGGCACGTCATGACGTCATATCACGTGATCGACAGTACACTTAAAAATATTGAGTGAACCAGCGGTGTTCACTCAGAAATGCTGAGCCATGTAAATACAAAAACACATATTTGTTTATAGACATTAATAGTTTAAAGGTGGATTAACTCAGCAAGAGATTTTAACTGTAGCGACCTCAGTCTTTATAAGCTAGTAGTACTGTTCGGGCTTACAGTGTGGCGGACCTCCGCTTCAGGGCGCCGCCGGAGACCTACGCATAACACCGGCCACCAGCCCCGAGGGAGTTCGCAGGAGCTTGGCAGAGCCTTGCCAACATTTCCCCGTGGGTCCTGCGCACCGTCATGGAGGGCTACAGGCTGCAGTTCCGGGTCCGCCCCCCCAGACGGGGTGGTCTGGACTGCGGTGCACTCAGAGCAGAGCCAGGTGTTGGGACAAGAAGTTCACTCTCTGCTGGAGAAAGGGGCCAGGAGTCCGGGTTCTACAGCCGGTGCTTCATAGTTCCCAAGAAGGACGGAGGACTGCGTCCGATTTTAGATCTGCGGTCCCTGAACCAGTCTCTGAGGAGATGCAGGTTCAGGATGCTCACCATCCCCGCCATCATCAGTCACATCCAAACCGAGGATTGGTTTGTCACGATAGATCTACGAGACGCATATTTCCACATCTCCATCCGTCCCTCTCACAGGATGTTCCTGAGGTTCGCCTTCGGGGGCGCGGCGTACCAGTATCGGGTTCTTCCGTTCGGCCTAGCACTCTCTCCTCGCACATTCACCAAATCCATGGATGCAGCTCTGGCCCCACTGAGGCTCCAGGGCATCCGCATATTAAACTACATCGACGACTGGCTCATCTTGGCTCAGTCTCGGGAGTTGGCGGTTCGGGATCGAGATGTCATCCTCGCCCACCTTCAGCATTTGGGGCTGGGGCTCAACGCGCAGATCCGTCCAGGACTGCTGGTAGCCCCATTTTGGCCGGCCCGAGTGTGGTTCTCGGACATAATATCGCTCCTCGAGGGCCCGCCATGGCAGGTCCCCCTGAGGAGGGACCTGCTGTCTCAGGCGGAGGGCCAGGTCTTTCACCCTTGCCCCGCCCTGTGGAGACTGTGGGTCTGGCCCCTGAGGGGGCCCAGTTCCTGGAGGCGGGCCTGACGGCGGGAACAGTCGAAACGCTGCTCAGCTCCAGAGCCCCGTCCACGAGAAGGACGTACGGCCTGAAGTGGAATGTGTTTGCCACCTGGTGTAGAGAACTGTTCACAAGAGGGGTTTAGCAACAAAGTAATTAACAGTACTTTTAAAACAGTGAGAGTTTAATTCATTTGTAACATGCAAACTCTCTAACCTTTTGCCATGGCATGCTAGAGCAAAGGAAGGAGATGAAATCAACTTAACACTTTCTGGTTGAATGTAAACAGCAAGCACCAAGATATGCTCATACCTAAAGTGCAAAACCATCTTTCTCTATCCACCGCATCGAGCGTGTGAGATGAACAGATGTCATGTCTCAAGCTCCCTGAGAGATTATATATAGGCTTTGTCTCAGCATGTAGAGATGTTAGATATGTATGTGACAATATTCTGCTCTGCTTCCCACAGGCTGCGCTAACTTTCTGCGGTTTACTGGAGGGGAACAAGAAAACGAACCGGACAATTTCAAACAAGGGACTCTCTGGCCTAAATATTAATTTTAGCATGCTGTAGCCATTTTGTAAACCTATTACCTTCTAGAGCATATGAAATATACAAAAAAAGATTATCTTAAAATAACTGGAGTCTGGTTTGAATCAGGTTTTAATACATGTGTAAACCTATGAAAATCAATATTTCTCAGAATATGTTATTTGATTAAATAGGTTTATCCCCTCCTACCAAATGATGTGAATGTTAGCAACCCCCCTGTAGTTGCAGGTTTAGGCAGTCAGAAGATACAATAAAAATAGTAGTTTGCTGTAAGGTAACTTCCTCATTGTGACTGAAAAGAGACGTGATAGGAAGGTAGCTTGCTGTATCCATCGTCAGTGTGGAAAGACTTATTTCTAGCTGCCGTTTACTCTGCTGTTTTACTTGTAACACTGTATATAGACACAAAGGCAATGTTCCTCTTGTGAAGCAGTGAGCAACTTATAAGCATCGTGCATGCACAAACATGCATGCTGATGTGCATGAAGGTATGTATGTGGTAGCGTGCTTGTAGCTTGTATCATTTGAATCAGGAGAGACTTCGTTACACTAAAGCGTGAACTCCCATAGTCAGCTGATTATAGAGGCAGGAAGAGAGAGATTTTATTTTATTTTATTTACAAAATATTGTTGGATGGAAATTAGGCATAGATTGATGAGTTACTTAATTTTGTGTTGTTGCACCTGTTGCATTATGATCCTTATGCAATATTTGTGATTTTCTTGCTAAACAAATTTATGCATACCACAACAGGATCAATAGGCATACAAACAAGTCTAAATCAAAAAATATATGGGATGCTTGCACTGCAAGCTATAATTGCAAAAATACAAAAATATCAACTGTGGCAGGGACTGGGAGAATGGGGAGTAACATGACAGTGAAAAATAATAAAAAAAATACACCTCAGCTACCTGGGGGTACCTGGGGGAGCACCCTCCCTCAGCACCCCTGCGTGACTGTGTCTGAGGGCAACATGTCTGTGTGGAATCTCCTTATGACCTGCTGCATGATACGCATAAGGCACATCAATTAATAATGGTCAGTTAAAAGTTTCCTCAGTACTCACAGTGACTTCTCACAAATTTCAGTGGATGCACCCGTTGTTGATCAGTGACATTGTTTTATTTGCACATGATCATTTACAGGTAGGCATTGCACCCCACTACCACACCTTGGTGACAGACCTGCATTTACACCAAAAAGCAGAAGAGGATAGTAGCTACTGTGTAATTTAAAATGTGTGTAATAAGGGCTTTGAAATCCATGTCATTTAGCAAGATAATGAAACCTGTTTTTGTAATGAGATGTTTTTTATGAGTACTAACAAATCAATATTAAAAATCAAGATGCAGATATGTTCTACTATTAATGTAATGCTTACAGTTAAAGAAATAGCATTTTGGGATATAAAGGTTTGGATAAGAGGATTGATACAACTCAAGTCTGTTCGCTATATATTTACTACAGCCAGGCCTTTAGATTAGCTTTGCATAAAAACTGGAAAGAGGGAGAAAGATAAACAGTTTTAAGTAAGTAAGCCAACTTTATTTGTATAGGGTTTTTTACAGACACAAGTCACACAGTGACCACTTAAACCTTGCGAAGTGGAAGTAAGCTGAAAACACAGTAAGCAATAAAAATGCATAATACATACAATACTCATAATAAAAAACATCAAAAAAATACATCAAAATGACATAGTAGAATAGACTGCACGATAAATAAGCAGTACGTGGTAAAAGTAAATAGCAAGGAAGGAGAGAGAGAGAGAGATGCCGACCAACCATACTGGTAAATCTGAATGAATCAGACTTTGGTGCTCACTGTTTCCGTAAAACGGAAAATCTACCTGATCTAACAATGTGTAGCATGTCCATTTTGACAAAAGTTTAAACATTTATATTTGTATGTGCGATCTAAGCAGTTTAAGTAGCTCAAGCTTTCAGAGATTTAGTCTTTAAAAACCAGACCAGGCTTCTAATTTAGACCTGCGTTTATTTGTCAAAACTTGTAGCCACACTAGGTCAGTAAAACAGGTAGGTGTCTATTTGGGACTATAGGCTTTTAATTGAAGTTTTACAGTATATTTAAAATCTGTGCAATAATAATGCAATAATATGTTGGGCTATGACTTAATGTATTGTGTATAATATAACATACACAAGCTTTTCCAAAGTTGGCCATATGATGCATTATTAGTTGCTGAAGGGAAATGTCAGTCCCCCCCTTCTCTATCCAGATCATCAGTGGGAAACAGCTTATCTCCTGTCCTGAAGCTTCTTGATCCCACCAAGAGGAAGGCAGGCTCCAGTACTCAGGAACATCACTTCTGAGTGCATTCCTTCTCCATATGTAAGATATTCCATTGTTTCCTTCAGAGAAATCATGTTCAAATGTATAATTACCAGCTAACTATAGTAGGTGGTGCAGTTAATGCTGTTCCAGACTGCTTTTCTCTGTGTCAAAAGTAGGAAATTTATTCTTTTACATGACGCATGTTTAACACATGCCTTCTTTAAATCATGGTCCCCTGTTTTCTGTGGAATACATCATATTTGGAGGGAAATTTTTCCCACATCCTGACTCTCCTCTGCTCTCTCCTCTTCTTCCTTCTGAGTGCATCAAAGAGCAGGTATCCACAACCCCCTGGGCCACAGTGATTGAAAGCTCCGAACGACGGAGTGAGTGCCAAAGTCTTATAAAGAATGCAACAGAGAATACATTTATTATTCAGATTACATTCTAATGCTGCTGGTCTGTCAACACAAAAATGATCCAGAAATAAGTTATTTAAGGATTTCACAGGTAATGTTGAGCAAGTCAGGGTGGAAAAAAAGAAAGGGTCCTGTATTAAACCATGTGTTAAATTCATTAACTTCAGGGGAGATGACAATCAGAGGAACTGATCTGGCAAAGGCCTGGCGTCTTCTCTTTGACCATACTTCTGACAAGCTCACCATGTTACGGCAGAAGAGAAAAATCTGCCCTCCTCCGTTTTAATGGTTTTCATCTCTATAGAGTAGGTGTGACCACTTCAAATATTCTGGAAATCTTGGCGTGGAAAACTTGTGCGATTTGCCCTCCACTGGGAGGCTTCCAGATGTCAGAGCACCAAGCGATTAGCATGGCCCCAACATTAAGAGGAGGGGGAAACTCGGCTACAAACATATTAATAAACCTCTCTCCCTGCAGGCCCCCGGGCACCCCACTACTGCTATTGCAATCCGCTCTTCGCATGGCTGTAAAAATCAGTTTCCTCTGCGCCATCTCAGCGACTGTCCCTCCACATAATCAACTCATATCAAAATGCCTCTCCAGCTAGACGGACTCCCACAGTGCCACAGGCCACACACTCAAGCTGCGGCCTGGTGCCGCGGCAGAGAAAAAAAAAATAAAACTATCAACCCTTCTAGAAGTCAGAAA